TGCCCAAGCGGGTCTCAAACCCGCGGGCTCAGGCAATCCACTCACCTCAGCCTCCCAAAGGCGCAGAATTACAGGCTGAGCCACCGAGCCTGAAATAATTTTTTTAAAGAAAAAGCTTTGTGGTTCTTACATAGCTAAAAAAATTGCCTATACATACTTACATCATGGTAGATTTAAAAATGTGGCTCTAGAATGGAATAAATTCAGATTTAACCACAAAAAGCTTATAAGCACCTATCAATTTGAAAACATACTGATGAAGCACTCATGGGTTGAAGAGGGAATTAACATGGTAACAACATAGATTATACTATCTTCTATTATGACACTGTGTATCCAAACTCATAGAGCATGGCCAAAGCAGTATTTCCAAGAAAAATTATAATCGTAAAGACATTTATCAGAAAACAAGTGAGACTCTGACTCAAAAACAAATAAAAAAGAAAACAAGAAAGATTAAAACGAAGTAAACATGCAGCTCAGAAAATTAGTAATAGAACAAAATAAGAGCAATGAAAAACACAACAAAGGAATTACATATATATATTATGAGTTAGAGTCTTACTCTGTGGCCCAGGCTGGGGTGCAGTGGCACGCTCTCGGTCACTGCAGCCTTGACCTGCTGGCCTCAGGTGATCCAAGTAGCCGGAACTACAGGCAGGTGTCATCATGCCCAGCTAGTTTTTTTATTTATTGTAGAGCTGAGGTCCTGCCAAGTTGCCCAGGCTGGTCTCAAACCCATAGGCTCAGGCAGTCCTCTAACCTCAGCCTCCCAAAGTGCTGGGATTATAGGCGTGAGCCACCACGCCCCAGCTAATTTTTAAAAATTTTATTGTAGGGACAAGGTCTTGCCAAGTTGCCCAGGCTGGTCTTGAACTTTGGGCTCACCTCTGCCTCCCAAAGTGCTAGGATTACAGGTGTAAGCCACCGTACCTGGCTATTCTGTTGATTACAAAAACAGAAATAAACGAGGGAACAGACAAAAACCCCAATTAAGAATCAATACAGCCTTTGGGAGGCTGAGGTGAGTAGACTGCCTGAGCCCGCGGGTTTGAGACTCGCCTGGGCAACTTGGTGAGACCTCATCAAAAAATTAGCCAGGTGTGGTAGTGCGCGCCTGTAGTTCCAGCTACTTGGAAGGCTGAGGCAGAAGGATCGCCGGAGCCCAGCAGGTCGAGGCTGCGGTGGCCAGGAGCGGCCACTGCACTCCAGTCTGGGCAACAGAGTGAGACTCCAACTCAAAAAAAAAAAAAGGAATCAATACAACCAAAAACTAATTTGACCGATGAGATGAACAAATATCTTAAGTCTGAAGTAGAAAAAAAAAACCCTTTAGAAATGGGGGGATGTGGGAAGAGAGGCTTAACTGCATATATACCATATTTATTTATTTATTTAGAGTTGGGAGTCTCATTCTCACCTAGCCTGGAGTGCAGTGGCATGATTACACCCACCACAGCCTTGATCTGCTGGGCTTCCTCAGTCTTCCAAGTAGCTGAGAGTACAGGCACGTACCCCCATGCTGGGCCCAATTTTTTTATTTATTGAAGAGACAAGGTCTTGCCATGTTGCCCAGGCTGGTCTCAAACTCCTGGGTTCAGGCAATCCTCTTGCTTTGGCCTCCCAAAGTGCTGGGATTACGGGCATCAGCCAGCACACTTGGCCACAGATTTTAAAAACTATAATAATAAATAATTTCTTATCTTCACATTTGTAAAAATAAATGAAATGGCTGATTCCTTAAGAAACTAAGTGGCCGGGCTCAGTAGCTCAGCCTATAATCCCAGCACTTTGGGAGGCCGAGGTGAGTGGATTGCCA